TATGGTAAAGACTCATTGTGCAGATGAATGAAGATCTGAATATTAATGTTAAAATATTTCTGAAATGGATCATCAAGCTCGAAGTGACGCACTCAACAAATTTTTAATAAAATATTTAAATACGGCTCCAAGAGAAAACCGAAAGACCAGACATCTTCCCAGCACCTGTTAGCAGCCCGTTCAACGTCACCGTTAAGCTGAAAAATAGTCTTCATAAACAAGGTTTCCCGCTTATCTTTATAAAACGCTCTGGCATCAATTCTATATAAAAGGTCAAGTCGAACTTCATACTTAAGGAGTTGTGATAAACCTAATCACAGATCAGCTGCAAAAACTCTTATATGATTTACTCTGGAAAACACAACAGATCGTTGATTTTAATGGCACCTTGGTGTTTATCTAGCGTATTACGTTCTGGAAATGTAGCGTAGTACTTAGAACGAACAAGCTGAAGTAATCCCAAGTATAATTTCAACAGAGAAAAGGAAAACATCCTTGAGTGTGAAAAAAACAGGGCTTAACTCTATTAAAGAATAGATGCACATTTCGCTGAATAGGAGAGGGATGAGCGATTATTACACAAGCTCAACAGACGTACGGTCTGTCTTGAAGCCATCATTAACGTGAATCTTCTTTTACATCTGTTCCTCGATTGTCCACTTCCCGTCTCTGCTTTCTCAGACCTCTCACCAAACTCGTCGCCGTTCTTTTCATTTATGCTGTACGTTTCCAGCATCCTACATTTTGAACAACCTGTGTAACAATTATTACGCTGGCATGATAATTATTATTTGCCATTGCATTACCACCATAGCTGAAGCAAACCTACCGATAGTCACGAAAAGAGCGATGAACGAAGAATGTGCAAGGTATAACCCAGAAATCACGTTCTGATCCCACAGATCCGATAACGAACTGAATTAACAAACGCAATTTCTGTGTCCTAGACGCTAAGAAAAGATGGCAGGCCGCATGGCTCGTTTGAAAGACAACTGTAGGACATAAAAAAGTAGAAATTCGGTTCCGCAGTACTAGCGGTAGAAGCAGAAAGCGAAGAACAGGAAAAAGTGGAGGAGCGTCGGTTTGCATTCATGACAAATCGAGGAAAAGTAGGGCAACGAACTTTTGTAGCAAAAGTAGAGACGTCGGAATGAAACAAAAAGATAAGTCGTTGCTCTGTTGAAAAAAAATAAAAATTGAAATATTTAAATCGTTTTAAATATCTTCAGAAAATTTTCGGTCGTCACTATACATTAAAGGAACATTTTAACCGATGGTGGTTCGCTACGATTTATAAACATATAATCAACATCATTTCGACCAACAAACTTAACCGCTCAACGGATCGAACTGTCGAATACGAACGTTTGTCGGCCTTGCCCTGGTGATGTTAAGGTCTTCGTAGCGAAACAGTTCGCCAATAAAGTGTTGACCATCTACAGTGTTTGGTGCCATGAACCATGGATCATTCAACTTATCTATATAACCATTGGCTCAGAATCAAAAATCAAAAACCTGAAGTATTATTTAGATTGTTTTTATGTTAAAACGGCGAAAAGTGCAAAGATACAACGTAAAAAACGAAAATTCATTTTTTTACTTTATATCGATGCTGCGATAGTGTAGACGAAAATCTTACGTTAAAAAGTACAGCAATATCGTACCGTCCTCTTGCTTCTAGTAGCGTAGAGAGACCAAATACGCAGGTCATGGCTTCATGGTATTTAATTCCTGTGCATAGGACGCAAGCCTGCAGTGCAACTCTAATTCCGTTGAACAAAAGAATGTTCAAGCCCAAACGCCACGATCCGTAGGAAAAAACATGCTAATCGAAAACATAACTCCGATGATCAGGTATAAACTCCAGAAATGGGAGTTTGTGATACCACCGTCAATATATTATGTTAAAATTAACCTACTCCGGAACATCGAGAGGATTAACATTATGTTTCATTTTAGATTGTTTTTATTTTGGAAATTTTGCTCACCTTACACAATCATCGCAGAGTAAGCGATTTGCATAAAAATAATGTTTCTGGGCTGACATTCTCATAAGTAGGCACAATGCCTGCACAATTCATTTTACCGGACAGGGATTTCACACGCATTTGACGGTTAGTGAAATTAATGTAACCAAAAACATAGAGAGGTTTCGATTCAATGTAGCTATAGTGTGAAATCGAAGCATTCGTTGAGCACTAATGCTCATCAAGAAATAATTCTTGCATCTATGTTAATATCTCTGCCATTCAAAGCAGAAAGACAGAAAGGAATAAGATAGTATTAATTCGAAACTGTCAGATAAAACTCTGAAACTTCGAATTTTTTGTTTTTAAAAATCCAGGAATTTTCCATCAGATTAACTAAAGTGGATTGCAACGGCTGAAACAATGGTCAGAATACCTGTAACATTTTCTTCGGCGCCATTCTTAACTGATCTTCTCGAAAATCGCGCTTGACTTGCAAGTTCAGGAAAGGAAAGGATGCCTT